TCATGGCACAGGTCTAAAACTTTAAAAAGACTTATAAAACAATTCGGAGAAAATATTTGTCTGTATAAACTAAAAATTAATAGATACCAGACAAACCTGTTTGTAAATATCACGTGTCTCTCACTATCAATTGATCATTATCAATACTTTAAATATGACAGTTGTTTTCCAATTGTTCCGTCAGTTGATAGAGTCTAATGTTTGATTTTATCATGTTTATGGTCCTCTCCCTTTTTGAATTTACCTTTGAGTTCGATATTTTTGTTAATACTTTTTTAAGCATCAATGGGAGAAGGACAATTGTCAGTACGTGAAGTATCAATTGCAGAAGAACAACAAGTCGAAGATCATGATTTATGTGCAGTATGCAAGTCGACCTACCGAACTCCAAGACTTCTTGACTGTTGTCATGTTTTTTGTTCACCTTGTATAGAAAAACTTCTTGAAAATGGACAAACCTTACGGTGTCCACGTTGTAGAAGGGAATTACCTATACCAAAAGGAGGCGTTGATGGACTTTCGTTATTTCCATTCATCGAATTATGCAATAATGAAAAGAACTAGAGTCTCTAAAGAGCCTGTGTTGCTCACCTTGGTCTATGTGCATATTAAACAAAGGACACAGATGGATTCATGACAAAATTGTGTTTTGGTGATGGTGATGTGTTTGTAGATCTTACTTTACTGAACTTTCTTGCTGCTTACAATTATCTCTATCTATAATGAACTTAGCCCAGTAGCTACAGTGGAAAATATTTTGTAAAAGTTTCAAAAATTTACAAAATTTATGAAAATTGTAAAAAAATTACTATAAAGGGCAATAGCTCCTTAAGGGGTAAATTGACCATTTTTGTCATGTTGACTTATTTGTAGATCTTACTTTGCTGTACATTATTGCTGTTTATAGTTTATCTCTATCTGTAATAATATTCAAGATAATAACCAAAAGCTGCAAAATTTTCTTAAAATTACCAATTCAGGGGCAGCAACCCAACAACGTGTTGCCTGATTGGTCTGAAAATTTCAGGGCAGATAGATCTTGACCTAATGAACAATTTTATCCCTGTCAGATTTGCTCTAAATGCTTTGGTTTCAGAGATATGAGCCAAAAACTGCATTTTACCCTATGTACTATTTTTTAGCCATGTCGGCCATCTTAGTTCGCGGGCGGGGTCATCGGACACATTTTTCAAACTAGATACCCTAATGATGATTGTGTACAAGTTTGGTTAAATTTGTCTTAGTAGTTTCAGAGGAGAAGATTTTTGTAAAAGATTACAAAAATTTACGAAAAATGGTTAAAAATTGACTATAAAGGGCAATAACTCCTTAAGGGGTCAACTGACCATTTTGGTCAAATTGACTTATTTGTAAATCTTACTTTGCTGAACATTATTGCTGTTTACAGTTCATCTCTATCTATAATAATATTCAAGATAATAACCAAAAATGGCAAAAATTCCTTAAAATTACCAATTCAGGGGCAGCAACCCAACAACGGTTGTCAGATTCATCTGAAAATTTCAGGGCAGATAGATCTTGACCTGATACACAATTTTACCCCATGTCAGATTTGCTCTAAATGCTTTGGTTTCAGAGATATAAGCCAAAATCTACATTTTACCCCCCCCCCCCCCCTGTTCTATTTTTGGCCATGGCGGCCATTTTGGTTAGTTGGCCGGGTCACCGGACACTCTTTTTAAACTAGATACCCTAATGATGATTGTGGCCAAGTTTGGTCAAATTTTGCCTAGTAGTTTCAGAGGAGAAGATTTTTGTAAAAGTTAACGACAACGGACGACGACGGACGACGACGGACGACGGACGCCAATTGATGAGAAAAGCTCACTTGGCCCTGTGGGCCAGGTGAGGTAAAAACGTAAACCGCGAATTTGTGATATGTGCGATGAAATGGATGTCCATTCCAGGTGTGTAGATTGTGATCAGAGTATGTGCAAACATTGCCATGATAACCATTTGAGAAACAAAACGTCGAGAAAACATAAAATTGAAGATGATTTAAATAATAGAGTAACCGAGGAACACCATGAACTGATATTGGAAGACGGTAAATGCGATGAACATTCAAAGGGATATTCTTCATATTGTAAGTCATGCAATTTGCCAATATGTGAAGAATGTAAAACATCCGACCATGCCTGTCACAAAACAGAAAAACTAGATATTGTTATTAAAGCCATGAAGTCAACACTGAACACTACATTGGGAAGTCTGAATTCAAAGATACCCTTTCTTGACAACGTTATACACAATGCAAAGTCAGAGGAAAATAAATATTGGAAAGATATTCAACAAATAAAGGGTGAACTTGAAAGTGTAGCTTCGAACTTAAAAGAACTTATGTGTAAATCCGTTGATATGGTGATGTCAGAAAATTTAGAGATCTTGGAGTCATTTTCATGTGCCGATTATAAGACATTTGAAACGTACATTGAAGAGGCTAAACAAAATCGGCTCTCTATAATCAGATTAATCAAAAGTATTGAAGCTACTATCAAATTTGGTCAAACGGCTGAAGTAATTAGACTATGCAGTGTTTTGTGCACAAAAACACGTATGTATAACGAAAGCTATTCTAGCACTGAGTTAAAATTAAATATACCTATTTTTAAACCAGGAACATTATCCTATCATCACATGCTGGATTATTTTGGCGTCATTAAACGAGATAATTACACTAAAGTTTTGCTGAAACCTCAATTTCCGTCCCTGCAAATTCAAAGCTTTCCAAATTTTAGGCATTTCACAAAGGAGTACAGTTTTCAAATAACCAGTGGTCTTACAAGTACAAGTATAGTAACAACAGGCAATTTTCACGCGTGTGTCACGTGTGTCATGAGTGAGTAATGGCACGCTCACAATATTTGATATGAATGGACAATCACAGCAATCACTTTCACATAAAGTACAAACAGTTTGGCAATCATTGGTGTAAACATTGGAAAATGTTTTATTTGGAAAGATTATGAAATTGATAGTATACCACTCCAAAGAGAAGAAAATTTTGAAACGCAAATTGATCCATTGGAAAATACGTTACCAGCTTTTCCCCAACATGGTTGTGCATGGATTATGGACAATGGAAATATGTTGGTTCTGAGGAATAACATCTTCTATGAACTTGAAGGAACTGGACAGACACTTAGAACTTTTACTAGTGCAGCCATATCACAACGAAATGCTAGGAGTCAGGCAAAATGCACCTTATTTACAAAGACAAACATAATTTTAGTTGCATATGACGATGAAATCTTCGCAATAACCTTGTCGGGTAACTTTATACAATCACATAAACAGAATGGTTCAAAATTTACCTCCATGTGCACGGACCGTCATGGAAATATATTTGTGACAGACTCGAGCAAAAATTGCGTATGCTTATTGACATCAGATTGCTATTTTATTCGTAATGTTTTGTGTTCTGAAGACGGCATTGACAACCTAGTATCTATAACGATCGACGGTCGAGGAAATCTATGGATTCTGATGAATGCAAATACAATCACGGTGTTTTCGTATTTGTAGTGACAAATGTCAAAATAACAATTATGTAGTGACAAAGTACTAGATGGTCTATGGTTTTCAATGGACTGAGTGTTTGTAACAAGAAAAGAAATTTAAAAAACGTCCTTTAACATTTATGTTTGTTTTATTAATTTCATTTTTTTAATGATGTTGATGCAGCATTCAACATACTTTTTATACAGTTTTAATTTTGCCTATGCGATTTGAAAATATAAATTGTCTCCGATAACAAAAGAGAGGTAAAAGATACCAAAGGGACATTGAAATTCGTAAGTCGAAAATAAACTGTCAACGCCATGGCAAAAATAGAATAAAAATCCTTAAAAAATAAGACAGAAATTGTCAAAAAAAAAGCACTCTAAGAAATTTGATTCACGAGACGTACATTTGACTCACAGTGTACAGCTACATTTCAAATTGTACCACTATATAAATGAAACAATATCACAATAAAACCAGGAAAATTAATTGGTTTGCCATTTACTTGTCGTCTAATGGCATATAGTTTAGACATACTCAAGACGGGAACACATCAATAAGAAAGTCAGTTGGTGGGTTCAGCAAAATGAATAGACATGGATGAACGGCGAAATTTTTGGCCTTGAAATGTAAAAACATATATTTTAATATAGACATGAAATTTTGCCTTATGAAATTTCTACTCTAGTACGTCACAAAGTGTGATTGGAAGGGCTATACCCATTCAGAGATATTCTCCCTACTACAGGCATCGGATTTATCGTCCTTAATCAGACAGGACGTTATTGCGTATATTGTACTTAAACATTATGCCCGCCAAACCAAACAGTCTACCCTCCCCCACATTTCCCACCCCTGCATACAGTTTACTTTCATGTTTACCGAGAAAATAATTCTTATGGTTGTGAACAATGGCTGCTTACTCGAGACACAAATAAAGGCAAGGATCATAACTAAGCCGGACGGGCAAGAGTGCATAACGTTTTTTCATGATAGCTATTCAATCTATTTTCTCTGCATTAGTGGAAAAACGAAGAGTTTATAGAAAAAAAACGTACAGTAAAAATTAATTAAACGAACAACCCTACAACAGACGAACAACAGCAAAGGTTCACGTAAAATAATTCTAAATAATATAATGTCAAAAATAATTCTTTGTTATTGAAAGATAACTAAACTGATTTATCTGATGCAGATATCATATATGTTGAAGTCAAAGTACATCTCACATGTTAATCTGAAGGATATATAACCATTGATAACACGAATCGCCAAAAATGTCGAACACTACAAAAGATGACATTAGCCATGAATACCCGACTCCTCCGAAACATCACACGTACACACAAAGCAATAAACATTGAAGGCAACCATTATTAAATGAATCACAAATGTAACATGTAATATTGCTTTCGATTTATAATCTGCTGTACTTAGAGAGTTAAGATATTAGAATTTTCTTCAATATTACTTACCTGTATACGAACTGATGAAAGTTGAAAATTTTTCCAATTCAGTATCTCTGTAATCTCTTTCTGGTGGCTTAAAAGTTTTATCTAAAAAAAACATTAAAATAGATTTAAGATGGAAAACGAATAATTGAACTTATTCTGAATTCGCTGTTGCTTATCTTACTTGTACATGTATGTCTATCTATTTCGAAAAGTGAAAGATTTTTCGGAAAATGCCTATACCAAGTCAGGAATATGACAGTTGTTTTCACTCGTTCCGTTGGTTGATAACGTTTGATTTTGACATGACCAGTTTTTATGGACTTTATGGTTGAATTTACCTTAGAGATTGGTATTTTTTATGCATTTTATACCAAAGAGATGTTCTTACTAATAAGTCGAAAACAAACTGACAGTGCTGTGGCCAAAAACGAAAACAAACAACAGTATACAAAACACAGCATAGAATACAAAAGACTGAGCAACACGAATCCCACCAAAACACCGGGGGTGATATCAGGTTCTCTGGAAGGGTAAGCAGAACCTGTGGCACCCGTTGAAAGTTTACGGCTCAGATTAAGGATTTGTTTTGTCTGTTGTATCCTCCTCTTTGTTTAGTTATTCCTGTTATCCTTTGTATGTATTTTGTACTTAGAAGAAGTCGTAGAGTTGAATCCGGATTTTTGCTTAATTGGTTTGTATTGTCCAATCTTGAATAATTTGAGTGAAGTTTCCGTATTATTTTCGGTCATAGGTTTTTCTGTATTTCTCTTACTTTTTGCTGCTGATCAATTTGGTATATTTTTTAAGAGTGATTTAGAAGTATAACCAAAGAAACGGCATTTAGTTTTATTATGTGCAGAGGGATTAAACATCATTTTGATTGAAGTGAAGACTGATTGATTGTTGATGATTTTGGAAGTCCGTGACTATTTAGGACGAGAGTAGCATAACAACACATCATTATAATGTGCTGAAATGTTGGCTGATCGAATAAAGAGGAGATACTTCGGGCTTCACGTGAAAAACGAAATGGTCACGACATTTTAAAATTGCACATAAAGTGCATGATCATGCATTTTAAAATAAGTCTGATTGTTTAGCGTGTCCTTATTAATACATCTCTCGCAACCATGGGGATCTGGTATAATTGATGAATTGATAAATACAGCTTAATTCAAACTACTTATTTTTGTGACGATCGTGAAGAATATATGTAACAATAAGCTAATATATCATGTTTTCCGATCATGTATAATGTTACTTCGAGGAAGTAGTTTTTGCAAATTGAGAAAATGTACATTCAACAGACGGATTCGTTTCTTATAGATAAGTCATTAGGGGGTTAGCTTTTTCCGATCTTTTTGTTTTTACTGTATTCCTGTCACGTAGTCTTGTCAGTTTAGCGGTATTTTTAACATTGTCATATAAGAGGGAGGTTTGGCTAGCCATAAAACCAGGTTCAACCCACCATTTTTCTTGAAATGTCCTGTTCCAAGTCAGGAATATTGCAGTTGTTATCAGATAGTCCGTTTCTATGTATGTTAGCGTTTGCTTTTGTTGTAGTTCAGTGTTTCTGTTGTTCCGTTGTTTTCCTCTTATAGTTGATGTGTTTCCCACGGTTTTAGTTTGTTACCCGGATTCGTTTTTGCTTAATCGAATTATGACTATCTAACAGCGGTATACTACTGTTGCCTTTATTTACATTATTTCCGCAGTAAAACTTTTACTTCCCGGATCTCTTATAATGTTGAAGTAAGATTATATTTCAATGACAACTGTTTGTTCAAAGGAGTTATACAGTTTCTTAATGTTCATATCAAAAATGCAATGTATTGGCATTTTTTCTTTCAGACAGTAACCTTTTATTCCTGAAATATAACATTCTATTGCTTAACTTGCCTCTGTATATTACGAGAAAAAAATTAAAACAGCACGTTATAAATGTTATGCATCCGAAGAGCTTTTCTGGATCTATCTTCATCAGGAACACCCAAAGCTGAATATTTGAAAGCCAAAGATGTATAAGAACTGAAGAGCTATATGACCAAAAAACACCTAAATAAATAGCCAAATCAATCGAAGGTCAACGTTGCCTTAAGGATTCTTTGTATTGTCATTAGTTAATGTTGTTTGCTTAACGTCCAGTGACTAATATTTCATGCATATTCTGGATCAGGACTTATACAAAAGGTGAATGTTCTGCAAGGTTAGTCGGATTGAACTTAAACCGCCAATGGAAAACGAGAGTATGTTGTATAGCAGCAGAAAATTTCATTTTGCCTTGCAAACAGGCCACCTACACCACCTTCAGTGTTCTCTAAAGACCAGAGACGTGGCACTCTCCCTACAAGAGGCATCAGGTTTAATGCTCCAAAATCCGACCTAACGTGACTGCGTATTTATACATCCCGAACAACCAAATTGACGCCCACGTAAGCTAGTGATTTACTGATGGGCGGAAGAAGTCTAAGGATGGTCATGTTTCCATGCCCCAGATTACATTACATTGTTCTGTAAATCAAGCGATTCTATAAATAGGAGGTATATGTATGACCACTGATTCTCTTTTCAATATATTAAAATAAATCGTTCGTTGGTCATGATGTATATTGGTATGCAGGTGGAATACCACATACTTATGACGTCTGCCGAGGGTATTATTCGATTTTGATTTGCATAGATTCCATATTGACGACGTCAAAGCAAACAAAGAAAATAACCTTCAAACATGTCAAAAATATTTTAACTTCCTGCAGGTCAGCTTTTACATGTTTTATACATTTATTTATTTAATTGTGATTATCTCCCTTGCATCACTCATATGCATTCTTTAGTTATGTTCTGTCCTCAGTTCTAACGGTTTATTCGCAGTTTTTGATGGGGTTCTTGTTACTCAGTCTTTATATAGTTTTCTATCTTGTGTTTTACTGTTGTTGTTGTCTTTTGGTCGTTTTTCCTTTTTTGTCATGGCATTGTCAGTTCGTTTTCAACTACTGAGTTTGATTATCCCTTTGACATCTTTCGCCTCTCTTATGAAACATATATAATTTAATAACATTTCAAACTGTAAGGTACGTTTCTTTATGTTGTCCCAAATAAAAACTGCGAGAGTACACTATTACTTAATCAATGTGAATTTGCATTGAGAGAGTTATAATTTCCACGAGTTCGACAACATGGAAAAATGGTACAGGGTTTTTGTTATAATGATGAAATAACATTGAACTTGACCATATAATTAATGATTGATAAATGCATGTATGCAAACTGTATAAACTTAAGGAGATGTGGTATGATTGCCAAAGAGACTACGTCCTACCAGACACCAAACGAAGATAATGTAAACTAATATAGGTATGTCCTTCAAAAATAAGTAAGACCCAAAGCGTTTAGTTAGCTTTAAAGGGTCCCGACATGACGAAATGTGTAGCAATTAAAAGAGAAAGCCAACGGTCTCAATTATGCTGAAAACGAAATACAAATATAACGGACAGCTAACAATGCATGATAACCACTGAATTACAGGCTCTTGATTTGGGACCGGCAGTCACATTAATGATGTTGCGGCGATAAATATGTTTGCGAGCTCTCAATCCATTTGCAAGCGCTCAATCCTCCCCTAACCTGGGCCAGTGTTGTAATAGCACACCTTAAGACCAGACTGTAAAAAACTAGTTGTTTATCTTCGTGGACTTAAATTTCACGATTTTTACGAGGAAACCTGTTCGAGAGTTTTTATCACAAAATATACGCTATTGGAAATTATTGCAATCTTAATATTAACTCTTGCAAAATTTTCCGTATGTATGCTATATGCTGAAAAATTCACATATTTTCACCATAAATAGAACTAACTTGTCCAATTTTTCATAATGGTAGATTGCATAGTTGGTCGACCATTTTGTTTTAGAACAGATTGAATCCAATTGATATTGTACAAAATTAAAACAGATACCGAAAAGAACATCTGTTAAAAAATCATTTACAATAGGGACTTGGTTCTTTTTCTAATTTTGATCGTCCTGAACATTCATGAAACTGGGCGTAAAGCAAACACCAATCAATCTGTCTTTTTTCTTATTTTAAAAGCCTGTGAAAAAATTTTCAACCACACGGGATTTGCAATTAGGACTGGTATTGAACGTTCAATCATACTTTTAACCCTATGCAAACATTACGATTTTTGGGGTATCGTCGATTAAATAGCAGAAGGTTCGTCCGTCCGTGCGTCCATACGTCACAAATCGTTTCCGATCTCTAATTTTCGGTTCGACCCTTTCAATATATGCTAAAATGATCTCCGCTTCTTAACTTTAACCACAAGTAATTGGGTACTGAAACTTGCCACTACTTAATGATGTGTCGGGTAAAACTGAGGAAGAAAACCTTACATTGAAAGTCATTTTCCCTGTGGATATGTACAAACAATTGTTTCAGTCCCCTAACTTTAAAACACCCTTGGAGTTTTAAGGGTGAATAAGTGGCGCATCAGTAAAATGTTTACCTTCTTTGGGTATAAGTTACTTTAAAATGGAATAACCTGATTATTTCTAGTTTGCATTACAATTAACATGTGGAATCGAGCGAACCCTTCGCAATGGAGCCATCACTATCCTCTAGTTATTAGCTACTTACAGTGTTCGATCTTCGGAAGTTTCTTGTTCTTCGATCGTCGCTTTTTAGGTTGTTCTAAAATAAATATATAACCAATAAACATAAATGTTGTTTCCTTCTACATAAAATACTCTAAAATCTCAGGTAGGTTGCTCAAAAACACAACTTTTTATTTAAGAAAAAACATATACAGAATATTAATGTTTTGATAGAGGAATAAGGGAACGGTAGATAATGAAAAGAAACCATGTTTTGTCTAAGACATGAATTTACCTACAGGATTTTAGTATGTATCTCCTTTTTTTTAATTTCTTCTAACTATTATAATTTTCTCCTGTATGCAACTATCTATGTGTAATTGTACACAAACCAGCTATACAAATACGTGTTTGCTTTACTTGTATAGTATGTACAAAGAGTCCCTTGATGTCCTGATTGTATGTTGAGCGATCGGTATTGTCAAAATACTTTTTTCCGTCATAGTTTTTTTGGGGGTCATCCTCGCGGTGGCGGTAAACCATGTCGATTTCCATGCGATTTCTATAAAAATCAAAGACAATGCTATAGAATGTTAATATCAAGGTTGAATTGCAGGATTTGAAAAAAACAATATACGTACATTGGCTAATATATATAAATGTATTTGCATATATTGTATAATGTGAACTAGGAAAATTATGGACACCACTAAATACCAATTTGTACTGTAACATATATATATATACATGGTTGTCCCCCCCCCCCCCCCCGCCTCGATGGAAAACCTAAAAACAGGTATGATATTACTGGCGTTGAACCTGGGGTGAAAGGACAATTGCCACTCTCTTATAAATTCTAAGGGGGACCATAATATCCATTTAAAAAAAAGAAAGAGTACTCTGATTAAATTATATTAGACTATAATAGAAAAGGTTTGTTTTAGTTTGTTTGTCACTAGACTGTAGAAACGTTTTTTTTTATTGTCGCTCTCCAATTTGTCACTCTACTCCTTCGCCACTAAAACTATTTGTAATGCTAGGGTCGTTGCTAATCAGGTACTAATAGCAAACATTATTTATTTCTTGACGAATGAAATTTTACGATGCTACAGCGAAATCTCTGTTATAACTAAGTTAAGCTGTTCTACAGTTCTTACCTGATTCAGCCTGCTTATATCCCCTGTCAATAGGTGGGAAGGTAGTCGGTGTTCTAATAAACAATAAAAACAATTTACTTTATTTACTTTATTCGGGAAGTTATCAGAACTGTATTTATAGTTTATCTGTTAAGGTTTTTAAATTATTCTATTTTATGGCTGTTAGATCTGTATCAGATTTTTTTTGTGTAGTGTTTTAAATAATCTTGTTTTGTGTGTAGTGTTTTGTGTGTAGTGTTTTAAATCATCTTGTTGTCTGTGTATTGTTCTGTGGACAGTTGTTTGTCTTATTTCCTTCAGTGGCGGATCCAGGATAGGGCGTAAACTCCCTTTTGATAACCAAAAACAAAATATTATGTTTCTCACGATTTACATGAATTGTTAGCATAATTGTTAGCATACTACGCAACCCCTCCCCCCTTTTCAAAAATCCTGGATCCGCCATGTCCTTTGTTATCAATCTTTCTTGGTTTTTGATTGTCTCCTTGGTATCTTTCTCCTTTTTTATCGGAATAAATATTGATGAGATGGTTGATTATTATCTTATCCATTCATAATATCAAGTGCATAGAGTTGGAGGGTCTGGATGAGGGGTCCTTCATTTTTATAATTCTTAGGTAATTTTTCTCTATTATTTATTTTTTGCCCAGTATTCTCTATTCTTTATTTTTTAGCGCCCCATGATTCTCTATTTATTGTTTTGTCCTATTTTCTCTATTCTTCACTTTTTTGCCAATTACTCTCTATTCTATAAACCCCTACCCTCATTTTGCTATCAGTCTTTCTACGATTTTTGTTTTTTTAATTATCTCCTTGATATCTTCTTTCCTTTTTTCAGATGTATAAATATTGGTGGTTGATTATTTAACATCATCCGTTTATAATATCAAGTGCAAAGAGTTTTATTTTCAAAAAGGCACTCAAGCGTAAAGAGATTTAAGAATATGTGTCTTTATAAAAAACAAAAGTAATACATGTCTGGTTAACTCGTGTTGAGCTACCTGAAAGACTTTTCTCTAGTGTAACCTACATTGAATATTGCAGGTACCAGGCGGAATTAAAGTTGCATCATACAAATATTATCAAATATACTATGTCAGAACATAGTTTATCTTATTGCTAAACTAATTAGTACCATTATATTTTATTAAGTACCATTATATTTTATTAAGTCTCTGTTTGTCCCACAAAGGCTCCGAATAAATAAAATATGTTTAATGTGTACAAGGAAATCAGACTTCCGATACGTTCAAATTATAAAAAAAACAAGTATGCTTTTATCCTTTCTGATGGAGAGATTTGTGAAAGGTTGTTTGTCTAAAGCCAGACTTTTTCATTGGATTATATGTCAGTATTAGTCATATCTTAGACATAGTTGCATTGTTGTAAACAAATAGGCTTATTTTAGTTTTTTTTTCGGTCTCGAATTTGCTTTAGCTTATAGTTTAAGCTTCTATATGATTAAGAAGTATTCGCATTAAGACACACCTTTAATATTTATATTTATTTCTCTGTTTTCTCTACAGTTGTAAGCTTATCTTTTTAGCGAAATGTTAATGTGAAATATAATTGAGTACTTACGCGGCTATCTCCGACATTTTTGATATAATTCCCTCCTCATGAGAATACAGAATAATTCTTCAGTTGCTCCCAACAATATTAATTATGAACGGAGTGTGATGTGGGGAGTTAAAAACCGTTTATCGAATTATAATTTAAAAAAATGAATGATCAGATTATGTTATAAATCTAATAATACCACTAAAACAATTTTTTATGGAAAAAGAAGAATTACTAAAGCGGACACACAAGGTCGGAAAGTAATTATAATTTACACCTTACAATGTGCCTCTTAATAATATAACCAAATTAAATTTTATTAGTCTGAGGTTAATGGGCCATTGTCTTCTTTTATTTGGTTTTGATGTAAAAGATAACATAATGTATTTAAAATGCGTTAATAATAAATCTACATTTAATCTAAAGACCTGTTGATCTTGCACATTCTTCAAAGGTACAAATAGATATTTCAGGATAATTATAAAGGTACATATTAGTATTCTCAGGCCATTTTTTATGGTGTCACTTGCCAAGTTTCAGTCCTAAACTGTCTATCAAGTCTATGCATGGGAGTTTTGATTAAGAGATTGTTTGACTTATTTTTTTAAATATACAATATTCGTACAGTGTAGCAAAATATAAGATTTATTTTACGAGCTCTAGAAAAACAGAGAAAACCAGGCTCACCGAGCTTTCCTCCTGTTTCGAAGCAAGTATACATTGTAATACATTTTATATTTTCCTACACTGTACGACTATTGTTTTTATCATGCAATTTAACATTGAGTTTTGTTTTCCATCCAATTCGTTGAATTTGTTTTTGAATGAAATAGACAGGATTTAAACGCGTACCACAATGAGGACCCCAAATTGAACTGTGATGTAAATAGTAATTTGAACATAACCATTCGCTCGTAACAGAAACAGGATACCAGGAGACCATCAACGTATGCTAATATACGTTTATCGCTTCGTGTTATCTGGAATAATATAAAAATAAGAAAATGTGGTATAATTGCCAATGAGACAACTCTCCACCAGAGACCTAATGACCGTAGAAATGTCGATTGCAAGATAAAAGTCAATATCTGATTCGTTGCTAAACGTTTTTAAAAGTGATTAGTTACAATTTTTGTGCTTTATCACTTTTTGACGATTTGATTGTTAGTCGAACATGGAACACCGTACCCTCAACAGTACCCGAGTTTATCCTCGAGTTTTGGTGCAGTTCATATCACTCAGTTTGCAGATTTCTGATGGGTGTTTTGTGGGTTTTTCTGTTGCCAGAGGCGGTGACACGAGGTGCTATCTTCACAACTATTTTTGTAATTGTTTCACACTTCCCCTCTTTTGTTCATATCCCACTTGTTTTACCCCCTATATCCCACATCTCAAAAGCGTGTCACCCCTCTCTTGACTGTCTCTCACCGAGTATAAATGGTTTATGATTTTAAACTTGGTATCCTCCCCTTTTTTCATCCCAATATTGCTCTTTGATAATAGGATTACTGTTATAAATATTCTGTGATTGTTTGATCACTGAAACCCCTTAATGCAGTTTCTCATTATTACAAAAAGAACCCTTTGAATAATTGAAATGATAAATGCGTACTTTGTTTTAAGCTTAGCAGTAATTCGTAAAATAGCCGCAGAAGTTCTGACTAAATCAACTTACGGTGGTATCAAACACCTTGACTAAAATTAATTTGGCTCGTTTAATTTTCATAAAATTTTGATAAAATATTTACTTAAACCCTTTGACAAAAATATAAAAATTTCAAAAAACTTGAACCACACACTTTATCGGAAAAATTTCATTGGATATATAGCAGTTTGACAAACACTAATTTTGATCATTGAGAAGCTTAATATTTCCTTAACAATAGAACGTGATTAAAACGTTCAGCTGCTTTTTACAGAGTTATCTCCCAATTGTGTTATGTACCACATTTAAAGGTTTTTATTTTTCAGGTGCTGGAAAGATGAATTACATCATGCAATAATTTATTCCTGATTTACCAATTCTAACATTTTGTAGAATTACATATAAATGAGAGATCATATATGTGACCAGCTATGAGATTTCAGGCTTATGGAGGTACTTGGGTCAAAATGATTTTTTTGGCGCTTTTATGAAGTATATATAGATTCAAAACACCTTGACAGGTTATTTTGCTAGATTCTTCAAAATAACAGAATTATGGTCATTTTTGTTAGTTTCGATTTTATTAAAACTTTTCTTTTTTTTTAAATTTTTCACATGTATGTTCATCTATTATAGTTGCTATGTCATATTGTGTTTTTTAAGGAAAAAGGCGGGGGGCAGTCTTTTTTAATTAATCAAAATGTAGATTTTTAGAATAACTAAATAATGAGGATCTGGATAAGAGCCCTTAATTTCTGAATTCTTTTATTTTCTATGGCATTTTTCTTCATCGTTAATAATAACCCTTATTCTGTAAAATTTTCATGAAAATGATTTCTTTATAACTACATTTCCTGTAAATAGAAGATTTTTTATTCTGCAAATCGTTCATTCTGTAATCAGTATATCATAATATCTCTTTATTATTTTATTTTTCAAAATCATTCTTTATACTTTTTAATTATTCTTTAAACTTTATTTTTAGTTCATTTTTTTTCTATTAATTACGGTTGAGAGCCATCATTCTCTATTCCTATTTTGTAAACCCCATCCAGACCCTCATATCTTATTCAAAGAGGGTTTGAAAACTTATACTTGGCGTCCGTTTTTTAGCAGTAACCTAACCTGCATCAATATGATTGTTAATTATTTTAGTCCCAGATTGATGAAACGTCACCAATGACAACAAGCTCTTCGTAGGTAGGTTTATAGATCATTTGATATATGAAAAATAGCGTGAACCGTGTTCAACTTAATTATAACTTGAAAATGTATATTTTGTTGTCATATGACACCCGAACTAATATTTCGTTCGTCAACTTTTGCCATATACACTTAGAAGATAGTTGGTCACATATGTTATAGCACTTTGATAAAACAGTTGGTCATATTACAAAAATCATTATTCTATATATCAGTGTATTTTCGAGATTTGAACATCGGATAACTGATATTCCAACCCAAATATCAATAACTCAAGTTACGAAGTGCATCTATGTATTATCTTTCAATCGCAAATTCACATTTACAATCGAGTTTTTATTTAATGCAAATTTTTTCAAACATGCAAAATTAGCTTCATTCTATCAACATTGCCATAACCAGCACAATTTACAATTAATTGACATACGATAATTCACCAGTTCAGAATCTAACGCATTCTGTTTAATATTTTCAAAAGCGTACACCCAAACGTGTTGATTGGTTAAAATGTCCTAAACATTTGAAATTTTACCAATGACGTGACCTATAGTGCCTAACAACATTTTGTGAGGTAGACAAATCCGGCCTTTAAATGATCAAATTGACTTTGTATGAACAAAAATAGGCAGATCGGTCATATAAGTTTGACTTTATCAAGTCACTGCTTTCATTTGGATTAAATTGGACTGGTACCGGCTTAATGAGACTGAAAAATGCTATTTTCTGTTAAAACACACAAGCGTTTTACATTGCGTAGACGTGCATAAAATATATGTCACTGTTTTTCATCAAAATGATATATGTTTCAAAAAATGAAAACGCATGATTTGTTAACAGTTTCTGAAGAACACTCTTTTTCAATAGTGTAAAAAATTACTGTAAAAATCGAACCTTTCCTACCTTTTTAGCATTCATAAAAATATCATGAACTCGTCCAGTGTACAGTTTAGTGGTCATTTGAACCACACGTGTGTGTGAAAGGAAATCCAAATTAACCAGTTTTCAGAAATTCAGAATATAATTATACTTTTAAGGCCTGTATTGGGATCTTTATTTCTATATTCTTTAATTTTTAAGACATTTTTCTAATTTCTTCACTGATGTTGTCCATTAATTATTCTAAAGACTGCCGACTGTAACATATACAGGCTATAGCTGATGAACATTGGTTTTATCGTTTTTATTAGAAGAAAAAAATAATAATTCAAATTCGACTTGACAGTTTTTTTCCATTCGTTTGATGGGATTGAGCTTTTGATTTTGCCATTTATAAGGGTCTTTCCGATTTGAATTTTCCTTGGAGTTCGGTATTATTGGTATTTTACTTTTTAGTACAATATTAGGACAGAAAACTAAAGACAAACCATGACAGTAATTGTTAATCCACAAACAAGAGTAATTTTATAATTTCTTAAAGATCTTTTAACTTCGGAGCTAGAGTTGCCACCCTTGTCTCCATAAACAATAATTATTGTTACGTAATAAAACGTCGTGTGCTTACAGAATACATACAGGACAAATTTGAACAGGTAAACAAATAAAGGTGAAACGAATTTGTTAGGGGTAAATTGGGTAGGGAGAAAATGAGAGATTTTATAATACAATTTCTATTTAATACTACAAAATATTCATCACCCAATTTTTTTGTTAGAAGTTCAAACACTTATATGTCTGTATTGTCATCGTTTTCCGATCTTCATTGGTGTATTTAAAGCAATAGAAAGTTTATTGACTTTATACAGAAAATTAACCTTCTTAAAGCGTTTATTCATTAACATGTATTACACGGATACATGGCAAAATCATTTTTAAAAATACTGCAATTCTGATTTATTCAGCGGGATTGTCATGAAGTGCGTTTAAGTGCACCATGGTATAGCAAACATCGAATTCCCTCACAAAATCTTACCACACACTATAATTCATTTTCATTTTGTGGTACGAACAATAAAATTACCCATAGTCCTAAAGATTCTTAAATGGCGATTACAGAAAATGTAAAAATAGTCAAAAATCCATCATGTATATTTTATTCAAATTCTTTATTTTTGATTTCTCTTAGTTTTATTTCGATAGTGACCTTGAGAGAAACCGTATTTTGAGGAAATTGGTCATACCTCTTTACTTTTCAACATTCGCATTCAATTTGTTATTTCTTTTATGTCAGACATTCTAATGGACGGAACAATGATTTAAATAGTTGAAAATAAAGGTCTGCTGGTCGACGGACACGACTCCAGAAAACAGTTTTCAGCCATGACATCTATCATGACTGATTTCACCACAAAGGATAGAATACAATTTTACTCTAACTCTCAAAAACAAAATAAAACGATATATCAAGACAGACCACAAT